GGCTGCCGCTCCCAAGTGGGGCCAGTGCGGCGGACAGGGCTGGACCGGTCCCACCACCTGCGTCGCCGGCTCGACCTGCCAGGCCCAGAACCAGTGGTACTCCCAGTGCCTGTAAGCGCCCGACGGTGCCTGGCGAGCGGTTCACCGCGGTTTCTCCGTGGGCGATGAGAAGCACGAAGTCAAAGACGAACGGCGAGGGTCTCAAAAGAGGAGCCGTCCCGGCTCAGTACATGTATCTCCTTTCTTGCCTTTATTTGTACATGCTTCCGAGTCGTCGGTCTAGCCATGCCGGCGCTCAGTAAATATATGTCTATACATTGCCTCTGTGTCTTTTCTACAGTGCATCGTGATTTATAGTACCCACATGATCTATCTGGTCCTTGGTTTCTTGACTGCGGAATCCCGAGCGCCACTGATCCGAGGGAACTCGATCTGCTGCCCACGAGACGTAACGACCAGCAGCTGCTCCACGGTACTTCATCAAGATGTATAAGTCCCTCGGGATTTTCTACTGCCAAGTTTTGCCCCGGAAAGCCAACTCTTCCCCAGTGTAAAACTATGGTTCTTGAATCGTGTGGTGCGGCGATGCCGCATCCCTGCATCCTCACACCTGAGAGGCACAGAGATGCGGGGACACTGGAAGACCTCGGCTCCTAGATTCTCGAATGCCAGCCACGGCAGTCAGACAGTCGGGCACCACTGCATGGAAAAGAAACGCAACACGAAGCTGATCGTGAAAAGGCGGTCGTTCATCCAGACATCGCTACCGAGACGGCGAGGCAGTGTCTCCACAGCCACACGCGTCCAGTCGCTTCATCCTCCTCTGCACACACACTAGACCCACGGCGGGCTGCCACGCCGCGACCAAAATGGACAGTAAGATGTACTTGACTACCCGGTACCCCTAACGCCTGTCCTATTTTTCCAACTAATCCCATGGCCTCCTTCCCGTCTCCTGCTATCCGTCGCGTCCCCACTTCAGACTCCTGGTACAGCCAAACAAAATACCCCGCGAAATGCTTAGACGGTCTTAGGACCACCCGTTCGTGTTGACGCCCTGGTTCCCCGTATCCATGCCCATGTTCAGAAACGCATCAATCTCGCCCATCCCGTCCGTCTCCAGCGCCGTCATGAGCTCCAACTGTTGTTCTTGACTCAGGCTACCCTGTCGCTCCGCATTCCAGCCTGCCGGGGGCCCACCGAAAGGACCCAGGTTGAACTGCCCAATGCCGAGCCCGAGCTCAGGAGCATTGGTGTAGTTGTGTGCGTGGGATCCGTCGTTGAAGAAGCTGTTGCTCATGGGGGTGAAGTTATACGGCGTGATGAAGGGCGGCGGCGGCGAGAACCAATCCGTGATGCCACTAGGTGTAGGCAGCGGACGTTGCTGAACGTGCGGCGGAGGAGGCGGCACCACGAACGTGGGCCCGCGCTGAGGAGGATGGGGTTGCTGTCCTGGCTGCGTCATCTTGGGCGGTGGAGGCGGCGGCGACATGTTGGTGCTTATCGCATTCATCGACGGCGTGAATGACATGGCTGGCGAAGATTGCGGCATCGTAGGCGTGGCACTCGAAGGTGGTGAAATTGTCGACGTCGTACTGCCAGGAGTACCAGCATTCAACTGGTTCGCACCGAGCGACTCCGGAGGGGTGGGAAGATGGCCAGAATGCTGCGCCGGTGTCGACATTGAGGATGCATATCCAACGGGCGTGTTGCCAGGCGGCGTCTGGTCATCCAGGGGCAGCTCTGGAGGATAAGCTGAAAATCGTCGGCCAAGCTGATCTGTGGAAGGACCCATAAAGATCGAATTGGAACGGAAGGTTGGGTGAATTGGTTGATAGTTCGCTTCGTATCCGAAGTGATTCATTGCTTCGGGGGTGGCATCGAATACGGTTCCAAACTGGGGCGCATTGACCTTGAACGAGGGCGCAGTAGACGCCGAGTTGTCGGAACCCTGGGGAGAGTCCGTATCGAAGATGGAGGATGGCGTGTTGAGATGGCTGGAGGAAGCAACTGTGGAGGTGTCGCGAATGTCGTAGACCTGGAGACAGGCTTTGGCGAAGACGGAGTACAAGTTGGAAGCCGATTCCGAACCGGGCCACCGTTGAGCGCACTGTTCTTGATCGACAATGTCAAGCGCAACCTGAACCAGCTCATCAACTTCTTCTCGAGAATGTGCCTGCCGAACTTCGGGGTACGAGACCGCCCAAAGCATTGCGTTCAGAGCCATAAAGAGAGTCAACAAGAAAATCCAGGTAATGTCGACAGCCGCCTTTTCCATTTGCTGTTTAGACAGGTTGATGATGTACGCGGCGCCCTCATAGCAGATCAGGGCGGCTCGGCCAGATGGCTTGGGTATTTGAGGAGATGGCCGGTGAAGGAAAATGCGCATCTGGTGAGCTCGGCCAGTGAACCTATGCATTGTTAGCAGCTTCAACCTGAGCTGGCCATATCGAACTAACCAAGGTTTACACCAAGCTGGGTTCTCTGGTGATTGGTCCACCCAGTCTTGTATGTCCTTTTCCATCTTGCTGAACCAGGGATGTGTCTCGTTCTTGGGCTCAGGGCGTTTCTTCTCATAGAGAAACCGCTTGATCTCGGCTTGCGCCATCCTCATCTTGAAAAAGTGCAACGCGACAAGCTTCTTCTCACTGGGCGGAGCAGGGAGAATGCCTTCCTCAGTGATGTACTCGTCGTCAACAGTGGCAAAGGGCTCGACGTCCAGATAATCGTCTCCCTTCGATATGCCGTTCGGGCGTCCCATGCTATGAGCGAGGCCGAATTCCATTGATGCGGTGACATATGAGAGCCGGCGTCGCATATCGAGGGTCAGGGGGTCTATGAGGCCTAACGAATAGTCGGCCGATATCGTCTTCTCGTCGGTAAGTCCCTCGGCCTGACATATGCGCGTTGCCATGCCCACAACATGGTAAATGGCCATTCGCGTGGGAGTAAGCATCGAGTACTGCCCGATGAGGGCTAGGCACTGCAGAGTCCTCAAGTCTTTGGATCGGATCACAATCTCAAAATACTCCATGGCGGCCAGGTAGTAGCTGTCGGCAAGTCCAGCGTACTGGATATCGAGCTTCTGAAGGCTAATGGCGAAGACCATCCGGACGATGAAGTTTTTGTAGGAGCACGTTCCACCGGCGAAGACTTCTTCCAGATCTTTGAGAAACTGTTTCTCGTGCAAGGTAGGCCAGAAGACTTGAGCTATGCAACATATTAGTTTCTTGAATGCGAGCAGAACGAGGCGGGGGTCGACGCACATCTCTGGCAAAATATGTCGACAAGCCGATCGGCGACCTGGCGCGCGGGCAGTGAAGTGGCGGGGTGTGCGCTTGTGGTGGGATAGCTCTTCTTTCGCTTGGTGGGTTTCGCCATGACAATCGATTGCATGCGTGTCTGTCGTCTCGCTCTCACTTCAGGAATGAGCTCAGATATGCGCTTGGAATCGGTGAAGACTTTGGCTTGTTCCATGAGCAGGCGGGTCATTGCGATGCCGCTGCTGGGACCTAGGTATCGCGGCGTTTCTTCAGACTCTGAAAGTCGTACGAGTCCGCCAGGACGCACAAAGTCTTCATTGCTGCGCGGGTGGTCGTTGTCCTCGTCGGTGTACATGCTCAAATTCGTTCTCTAATTGTCGGACCTTTTCCTGGAGCTTTGACTACATAGTTGCGACCAATCTTTCTGCCTTTTGTCGCATCATAGTATTCGCACACGGAGCCGGATCGCTCGCACGGCAAGCAGCGCGGTAGTGTTGGATCGCATCTTGGTTTTTCCTCTAGAGAGTCTTAACTGGTCAGTATTCGCCTGTGGGGATTTCTTTTGACTG